ATGTTACAAGATGAATAAGTGGATTTCGCACGAAATATTAATATTAAGAAGATGAATATGTTTTATTGTAAAATGAACATGTCAAACTATAAGATGAATATGTTATGTTACTAGATGAATTAAGTTGATTTCGCACGAAATATTAATCTTAACAAGATGAATATGTTTCAGTGTAAAATGAACATGTCAAACTATAAGATGAATATGTCATGTTACAAGATGAAAAACTTGATTTCGCACGACCTTCCAACTTTTTGCCGTTTTAACCAAATTTTTGGGATTTAGCATGAATAACATGACCTTGGAGAAGTTTGCAAACCGAACCCAAATTCAAACGGCCGTCTAATTTTTGCCAACGTGTCCGTTTACCTCTACCGACGTTGCCAACGTGGTGTGACGTGGTAAATACTGTATAAAAACGCTCATTTTCCCCAAAATCAAGAAAACCACTCATGCCCTAATTTCAAAATCGTCCTCTTCCCCAAATTTCACAGATCCATCCCTAAATTTCAAACTATCCTAGATCGACCTCTCTCACAAAGTTTAGTCGTACAAGTATCAACATCCATTGAACCCTAATTTTCGATCTTATTCATTCGCAGCTTTATCCCCAAAATTGTCAATCGTGTTCTTCCTCATATTTTGCCCTAATTTCGCAGTTTCATCCTCTGACAATTGTCGATCGTGTTCTTCCCCAAATTTTTGCCCTAATTTCGCAACTTCTTCCCCTGAAAATGTCGAACTCGTCTCGTACAAGCCAAAATTCGCAACATAGCGCTTCATCCAATATCCCAGTGCAGAAGCAGTGCCGCCATTTGGAAGAGGCCATTGTTTTGACCTCAATGACTAACGACAATCCATGTCGGAGGTTCTACAAGTGTCCTTACTCAAAAGTAATTTATTATCGTATTTTGTTCTGTAATTTTTATGCATTTTGTTTACCCAAAAGATATATTTTATATGAAGGTTTTTTTTTATTTATTTATAAGCAGGAGTTAGATTGTCGTTTCTTTGAATGGATCGATCCCTCAATGCCTGATTTCCAAAAGAAATGTTTCATCAAATTGAAGTCTCAAAAAGAGGCTTTAGAAGAAAAGTTACGGGACAAGGTGGCCATGGAAAAACAACACAATGGCAGGTCGGGTGTGAAAGAAGTAAGCTCGACTTGGCTTGAGGAGCTTGAAAATAAAGTGACAGTGCTTGAGGTAGAAGGTCACAAGAATGCTGAAGTCATTTTGGTTCTTGAGAAGAACTTATCTCAAGTAAAAAACCTTGAAAGGAAAATGATTTGTTTGATTGTTGTTTTGGTTCTTATTGTGATTGTGTTTGGTAGAAATGGTCATGTCATGTCCATTAGCTGAAGGTGAACTAATTATGTGATGGTTTTGATGTTGTGATGGTCATGTCCATTAGGTTGTTTAGATTGTGTTTGGTTGATATATGATATGAGATTTAGATTGTGTTTGGTTGAAAAACTTCTGCATCAATTTCATTATTAGAAGAAGTATCTTATTAGTTAAACTATCTTATTCCTGTTATTGGAATCCTTTACTTACACTCTTATTCCTGACATAACAATTGACAAACAAAATCACATGAAGACATTCTAAACCGAGATCCCACAAAACCTTAAAAGAACAGTTCCTTTCCATAAAAATAAGTACACATTCATTTCGAAAATGACAACACACTTCATTTAAGTCATTCACACATAACAAAACACATAAAATATCACATATCACATCCAGATCCCACAAAAAGCTCAAAAGCACATCATCAAGATGAGTTCAACTACTGAGTCTCCACCCACAAAAAAATCCGAAAATGAATAAGTTGATTTCGAAGGAAATAGTATGCTTAACAAAATGAAAACGTTTAATTGTAAAATGAACATGTCAAACTATAAGATGAATATGTTATGTTACAAGATGAATAAATTTATTTCGCTCGAAATATCAATCTTAACAAGATGAATATGTTTAATTGTAAAATGAACATGTAAAATTATAAGATGAATATGTTATGTTAGCAAGATAAAAATGTTTCATTGTTAAATGAACATGCCACACTATAAGATGAATCTGTTATGTTATAAGATGAATGAGTTGATTTTGCACGAAATATGTATCTTAACAAGATGAATATGTTTCATTGTAAAATGAACATGTCAAACTATAATATGAATCTGTTATGTTACAAGATTAACAAGGTGATTTCGTACAAAATATGTATCTTAACAAGATGAATATGTTTCATTGTAAACTGAACATGTGGAATTATAAGATGAATATGTTATGTTACAATTTCGTACGAAATAATTTTATATATATATATATATAGGGGGGAAAACACGCGCGGGTCAAGACAAATAAAAGTGGAATCGACTTTTATTTCCTACCTGAAGTACACGCACCTATTTTAAAATTTACAACCCTGCAACTTCTATTATCGCGCCTCGATATCCCTAATAGGCGATAATTCAATTGTAAAACTGGCGAAGCAAAAATTAATTAATTACCAACTTTTTTACCAAAGATAATACAAACCGGCGAAGCAAATTGAAACTTAGAAACGCTCGACGAACCCTCACAGGTAAAATTTCTTTGCTTTTTATGTCAATTAAATGTCAGTTTAATGATTGTAAATGTTAAATTTACAAATGAAAAACTACTGAATCGGTCGATGAATAGCAGATGGAAAACGAGACATTGAAGAATATGATTGTATGTATTCTGTGCCTTGGGTTTGAAACCATTCCGACTATGATATCAATTCAGTTTCGAAGTATTTTTCTGAGGGTGTATAATATTTTATTAATTTTTTCGCTCACAGGATAAAATAGTGGCCGCAAAGGTGAAGAAGAGCAGGCCAGAAATTGTTGCCAAACAAAGCCGACAAAAAA